CTTCGTTTGTTTGTTCCTTCCTTCCTTCCTTGTCCCCACGTTATCTTCTTTTGTTAATTGTCTCCATTTGTCATGTCACATCTCACTTTTCCAGCACTCAGTTGCCTTCCTGAGTTGTAAATAGTACTGTGTCAGGTGACCAGCCAATTCTTATTTCACCTCTGTTGAACTACTAATTAACCAGCAGATGGGCTTCCAGAGAGGGCTGTTTATTGTTTTCTCAGCCAACAAAACACTCTACCAGTCCAGGAACCATATGCCTTCCTCTTGGGACACCTGTGGTATCCAACTCAAACTATGTTGCTGTTCCTTTCTAACCTTTGTGTTGAGAACACACAGGACTCTTCCTACTCTATCCGGATGCACTCCACCGGTGTAATCTAGCATTCGGATCGGAATGCTTTGTCCATAATTTATCCTTGTGTGATCAAGAAGATGAAAGAGAAGAGAAGAGTGACTGTAGAGGAGGAGAAAAATAGAGAAGTTGGAAAGGAAGAGATAGTGAAAGTTATAGAAAAAATGAAAGAGTTGAAGGCGGGAAAGGAGCAGGAGGAGGAGTCAGGAAAGAGAGAGAGAGGAGGGGGTAGACGGTTTCTTAACTTCAGAGGAAGGAGGAAAATCAGGGGAGATGAGAAAGATGGTGGTTTTAGATGAAGAATGGCTGGAAGGAGAAGGGGAACCTAAGAGTGTTTCAGATCCCACAGAAGGGATTAGGTTACGAAAGCCAAGACCGAAAAGAGACAGAGGAAAAGGGGGCAGAAGGAAAACCCATGATTGAAGGATCGAGACCGGAGGGATGGACAGTTTTAGGACACCCTCGAGGATGGGGTCCTTGGAAGAGGGTGATCCCACCAGGGCTGGTCCAACCGCCCGAGAAGCCGCCCGAAGGAGAATGGTCACGCCATCCCTTGCCGTGGGACAATATGTGCGGTGAGGAGCGGCTGTCTGAGAAGGCCGACGGATCAGGAAACGGTTCGGACAATCTTTCCATTAAAGGGGTGACCATGATGAGGAGACGTTGCCTTCATTGTGGGCTAACTGACCTGTCCACGTTGAACCAGTGTAGACCCTCTTGAAGTTGTGGTGGAAAAACCTATTCATTTTGATAATAAAGAATTGTTCCAAGAATCTCCTCTCTTGTCGTTTCCCGCCAAAAAACAAGAAACCGCCAGACGCTGACAAAGAACCCGAATCGCACCCTGTCAACGCAGCGTCCAGGTTCCTCCCATGCCTTCTTTCTTGGGGCTGCTCGATGAAAAGTGAGATAATCCCAAATCCCCAGTTTTGCTGGGAGTTTGGCGAAGACTGCGTTTTTGACTAAGTCGTTTTTTTAGCCCATCTAATGCCGGTGAAAGAGACCCGATGCTTCCTCGTGCACAAACATGTTCTGGAATTGCCGTTTCCCAGGAACAACGGCTGTTTGAGTGGCTGCACCGTTCATTCGCTGCCCTGTATTATTATGCAATGAACTTTTAATAGCTTTTCTTGTTCATATATAATCCTGTTTATTGAATTTTTTTCCCCCCACATGGCAGGTTTAGCCAATCCTTTCTCCCTAATCCCTTCATTTTACAGGATACAGCCACCTATTTCAGAGCTGAGCCCCAGCTGCTGCACATAATAATTATATAGACAAAAGCTTCCCATTTCTCCTCAAGTTCTTTCATGGTTACACTGCTTTTCTGTTAGAATACAAAGGACCTTCACAGAAAAAAATCACATCCTTTTACTTAAGCAATGACTAGAAAAAGAGTCTGGGGAAAGCCACCAAGTAGAGATCCGGAAATTTAATATAACCTCTTTTCCTTTATTTTGTCCTCTCCGAGCTTATCTCAGATTTGTGCAGTAGTTAATTATATTTCTTTGTTGTTTATTACCACTAACATGTACTTTCATGTTAACAGAGGTTTGTGTTTCAGAACGAAGGGCAGCCACTTAAATTGCACGCAGAGATGCTTAATAACCCATGTGGGGCATTTCCTGGAGGCAGTGCAGGGTTCCCTGAAACCAAGGAAGAAAATCTGACTTCCTAACAGAGATGTAAGGAAGGCTTTCGTGACCTTTATATTTTATGTGGAAATACTTTTCCATCTTATGTTAAGAGAAATGGAAAGAAAATCATGTAACCCAGGTGCAGCGATTATGGGCTAAAATATTTAGCAAGGCCTCTATTCAGAGCACATTCCCATAGTCTCTTGAGACTGAAGGATGCCTACTATTAAATCCGCATGATTGGGCTAATAATTTCATGTCAGCAGAAAGAGGATAATAACTATTAATTATGACTTCCATGTCCTGTTTACCAACTTATTTTAAAAAATACAAAAATAATAAATAGTACTCTCTCTCTCTCTCTCTCTCATTGTACAGGTATTTCAGTACTTTTATTGTGGCTGATGTAGCAGAGGATAAATAAGAGTACCTAGAAATGGAAAGAAAATCATGTAACCCAGCTGTAGTGATTATGGGCTAAAATATTTAGCAAGGCCTCTGTTCAGAGCACATTCCCATAGTCTCTCGAGACTGAAGGATGCTTACTATTAAATCTGCACGATTGGGCTAATAATTTCATGTCAGCAGCAAGAGGATAATAACTATTAATTATGACTTCCATGTCCTGTTTACCAACTTATTTTAAAAAATACAAAAATAATAAATAGTACTCTCTCTCTCTCTCTCTCTCATTGTACAGGTATTTCAGTACTTTTATTGTGGCTGATGTAGCAGAGGATAAATAAGAGGTACTGGTAACAGGATCCAGGAAAATTAAGAGTTGGGAAGGGCAAAAGGTGGTAGGCTCTGGCTGGCTGGCAGAAAGCAGAAGGATGAGCAGCATTTAAAGAAAGTTTCTGGAAAGGGGAGCTAATAGAAACATTATTGAAAGATGGTTGTTGAGGGTTTTTCGGGCTCTTTGGCCGTGTTCTGAAGGTTGTTCTTCCTAACGTTTCTTGGTTTGATGGCTCTTGTGACCTCCGACTGGGACACAAGGTCTACAGAAAACCCACCCACACAGACCGGTACCTACACAAAAACTCCAACTACCATCCACAGCAAAAAAAGAGGCATAATCAAAACACTGGTAGACCGTGCAAATCAGAACTGTGAAGCTCAATTTCTCAGCACTGAACTCAGCCATCTGAATTGCGCCCAACAGGCAAATGGCTCCTCCAAGAATGAAATCACAAGAGCCATCAAACCAAGAAAACAACACCAAACTGAACAGGAAAAACACCCACCCACAAATAAAGTATTTCTGCCATACATCAAAGGGGTCACGGACCTCATGGGGAAACTTTTGAAAAAACACAACCTACAAACAGTATTCAAGCCCACCACAAAAATACAACAAATGTTACAGTCAGCAAAGGACAAAAGGGACCCCCTCACCACTGCAGAAGTATACCGGATACCTTGCAGTTGTGGCCAGGTATATATTGGAACCACAAAACGCAGCATCCACACCAGAATCAAAGAACATGAGAGACACTGCAGACTAAAACAACTGGAAAAATTGGCAGTAGCCGAACATGCCCTAAAACAAGCTGGACATGAAATTCTATTTCAAAATACTAAAGTACTGGACAACACCATTATGTTAGACTGCACAGGGAAGCCATTGAAATCCACAAACAGCAGCAGGGCTTCAACAAAAAGAAAACTCGACAAAGCCTGGCTCCCAGCACTGAAAAATACAGCCTGCAAAAGGTCAGCAAATTCTACCCAGCTCACTGAAAAATACAGCCTGCAAAAGGTCAGAGAACTCTACCCAGCTACAAGGACGGGTCATCACTGCACACAAAAGACCAGCTAACGACACCCATCAATCACAGTGACAGATCATCTCTCCCTCTTATCACAACAATATACCCACAACAAAAAAACACGCTGATCACCACAATCACCCATCTCCTGAAAAGGACAAAAGCTGATCCCACAGCTATAAATAATCAACTATCCACACAAACTGCATCAGAGCACAGACAGAGTTCTTACTCCTGTCCTCTGAAGATGACGGCTGCTGAAACGTTAGGAAGAACAACCTTCAGGACACGGCCAAAGAGCCTGAAAAACTCACAACAGCCATCAGATCCCGGCCGTGAAAGCCTTCGAGAATACATTATTGAAAGAAATGAGTAATGAGTTTAATTTTTCATGGCTGCAGAGTAACACAAGTGGCATTCCTTTAGCCTCGCTGAAGTCCTAGGTTCGAGAATACATTATTGAAAGAAATGAGTAACACAAGTGGCATTCCTTTAGCCTTGCTGAAGTCCTAGGTCTTAGGATTGTTCTGAGGATGTGTGTGTTTTGGTCTGGTCTCTGGGTGTTCTTTGTGAATTTTGTTGTATGTGTATATGGTATATATATGTTCAAGGACAATAAATTATTATGATTATTATGGTTGTTACTATTATTGCTGAAGTTTAAGGCATCTCCATGGGCACTCTGTTGCACGTGGAATTGGGCATTTCTTAATGTTGCTGCTTGCATAACTTCACAACAGGTTTCCAGCCAATAAATTGTTTTAAAAAAATACAGCAGGTACTCCTGTATCCGCAGTTCTGTTCCATGATCTACTGTGGATATCTGAAACAGCAGATAGTAGCAAATCCTATACCACATACAAAGAGACCGGATGAAGACCACAAGACCCACCCTCTTATATGCTGTATATAGACTGCAGTAAATTTCGGGTCACTGAAACCACAACATCGACCCCACGGTTCTATTGGGATTAAATACAGTATTATATTTAAAACCCTGGCATAGTTTTCTACACAATTTAATCTCCTTTAAAAAAAAAGAAGCCTGTTTTATAAACAGTTTCATTTAGAAGCATCATTATTGTAGCATATACATGAACAAACCTGGAAATTTTTTACAAATTTGGCTCCATACCTTATAGGTGTGTTTTTTCCACCCCTGCAACTCCATAGCAACCTGTTTCATAAGCAGCGTAGCACCTGTGTTGTTCAGGAGGGTGTGTCTACCTGCGTCAAACCTACACTGATATAGAAACTGTATCAGAACCAGGAAGAGAGTGAAACACAAACCTATCTGAGCAGAGGGCCGGTTAACCAAACAGAGGTAGAAGCATAGGAAGGATCGTACGCCTGATAAGAGAGAAATCATGGGGAAAGCAAAAAAAGGTGAAAGTTCTGCTTAAGGGCGGTTACCTGTGAGGTCCTAAGGAAGCTTCAGTGGGTTAGGAAACAGTCCTGCTAAAAAGACTTCAGTTTGCAAAAGAGGAATGCCGGATGCAGACTACAGGAATGAAGGTTGGTCTACTCGTCTCAGATGAGGACGAGCGTTCATATTCATGAGATGGATCCAGTCTCTACAAGGAAGAGTTGATAGCTGGCATGGATTGCAGAAAGCCTAAGTAAGTGTTGCCCTTTCAGGAAGCTTGTGAATGTGACCAGGAAAATTATGGGAGATGCAGAACAAATTAGGGGTTATAGACCCAGTCATGGGGGAATGAAAGCCGTGGTGGTTGAAGCCACACCGGGAAACAGATTGCAATTTGTGGAGTGGTCTGGCCTGATTGTTTTTCTTAACAATTTATACATTTGGGCTGTTTACATCGATACCTTGCAGCTGGACAACACATCACGGCCACATTTTGCCTTAATAAGCAGTTTTAATAAGCAGGCGCCCTCCCGTTGTATCCCCGCCATGATAAGCCAGGGGAGGCCAGGATGATAGGAAGAAGCACAAGCAAGCTCGTTAGCGAGGTTTGATAAGCACATCTGTTGTTTCTGGCTTGTCTTCCATGCTTGAAGCTCATGAGGGCTGATTGACCCTCCGTGGACCCATCTTTGTGTCAGGAGAACAGCCAAGGAAATGCGCCTGGCCAAAGAAAAGGGACAACAGATCAAGTTAGAAGACAATAGTTGATGCCTTAACCATATTTTAACGGATATTCTGTAGGGTTTTTCGCCTCCCAAATTTTTTACAGTGGACCCTTGACTTACAGACAGCTCAACTTACAAACTTTTCGAGTTACAGACTTCTCTGGCCGCAAAATGTAGGTTCGACTTGCAGCCGGAGAATCGACCTGCAGACCAGAAAAAAACCAAAATGGAACAAAAACAGAACAAAAACGGCCGGTTATGGCATTAATCGGTTTTCAATGCATTGTAGGTCAATGGAGACACGACCTACAGACTTTTCGACCTGCAGCCACCGTTCCAATACAGATTAATTCTCTAAGTAGAGGGTCCACTGTATATTAATTAGTGTTTTGATCAGTGCGAAACCAAAGGGTGGATTATAATGTGGGATTTGTTTTGTCTTTCTAACAGAACGGATTTTAAAAATTGAAAGGCATGAACTTTTAAATGAAAAAAATCCTAAACATTTTCATACGTTGTGTGTTTTTTAAGTGAAATTTTGAGTTGTGGTAAAGAAATAATAAGTTGTAGGACCTCACCAAATAAATATATAAGTGTTTTGACCCCTCTACTCCTGCAAGCATTTTAAGCTTTTGGCTGGTTCCCCCCCCCAATGCCATTTTAAATTTCAAAATATAAAAAATCTTTAAAACCAACCAACCAACCAAGCATTTTATGGATTTTTTTCCTCTTTAGGAAAACACTGTTTCAAATGTTAAAAACCTCTTGTAAACACATGTTTCAAGCCCTCCCCTAGTATATTAAGCCGGTGTGTTGTTCCTATTACGATGATTCCTATTGAACAAAAACGCCATTTTAAAACTTTTACCTATTAAAAAAAGGTGAGGTGTGCGGGTTTTTTTCTTTTTTTAAACCAACCCAAAGTATTTTAATAATTTCCGGCTTTGGTGTGTGTATGTGTGTGTGTTCGAAATGACATTGTAGCTTTTTGTTTGTTACAGTAGTCAGTTTTTCCTTCCCCATAAGGAAGGGAGAGAGACAAGCAGGGAAAGTGAGCAAAAGGCAGGAAGGAAAGCCGGGACGAGC